CCCAGACGGGAATTCTGCCTATTCCAGTTTGGGTTTGTGGTTTATTGCAACAGCTCCTCCTCTCCGGGGAATGGGGTTTATGTCCCATTTAGGTCACAAGTAATGGGAATTTGGCAGCTCTGCCCGGGTCTGGGGGGGGGGGGGGGGGGGGGGGGGGTGTCCCGGCCCCGCCGTCGCACCCTTCACCGCCCTCCGCACCTGCAGCGCGGGGCCCCGCCCGGCCCGGCCTTTCCCAAGCGGCGGCTCCTCCTCCAGGAAGCCGGATCTGCCGCATCCTCGTCGGCGGGGCCGTACTCCCGGCGGCGCTGCGTGGGGGCAGCATGCGGCCCCCGGCTGAGCCCCGCCGCCCCCCTCCGCTCCTCTTCCTCCTCCTCTTCCTCCTCACGGTGAGTGGCGACCTCCCCCCCCTCCCAGCCCCCGGGTTGGCCGCGGTGAGGGCCCGGGCCGGGTGTCGGGCTTCGAGGGGTGCCCGTCCCCCCGGGGCTCCGCGCTCGGACGGGCCGGTGCGGGGCGGAGAGGGAGGCCCAGCCCCCGGGGCAGTGGGGTACGGGGGGCTCCTGGGCTGGGCTTGGGGCCCGGTCCCTCTCACAGCGGGTGTCCGGCCTGTCCCGGCTCCCTACTCCCTCCCCCCGGCTCCGTCCCCCCGGGTTTCCCGGCCTCCTCGATCCGGTTTCCCGGCCTTCTCGACCCACCTCCTTAAATCAACGTGTTAAAAATAAAACCTTCCTGTCCCTCATAACGTGAAATTTCTGGGTTTAAAAGAAGAAGCGGGGTGGTAGGGGGTGTGTGTGTGACACCCACTTACAGGTGGGCCTGGCGCTGCACTGCCTGAGGGAAACCCCTGCCTTTTAGGGGTGGCTGCTCAACTGGCTTGTATTTTTTTACGGTTCTTGAACCCAAACTGGGGTTAAAGTCTTTGTATGGCGGTACCACAGGGGGCAGGTGGGCCCCCCGTGTCCCCCAGCCTGGCATGACGTGAGGTGACATGGGGGAGAAGTAAAAGGACCAGGCTTATCTACAGGTGTGCACCTTCCATAGGGTCCTCTGGGATTTCTGGGAAGGAGAAAGCCCTGTCAAGACCTCAAAGAGTGGTTTCTCCTCATTTCTATAACATTCCACCCTACTGGTAATGTTCACTCTCCTACCCATCATCTGATTGTCTCCCACAGTGATTATTTTTTTTAATCCCAACATCTGACGGGGTGAATCCTTCAGATTCGGCAGGTTTTAAGGAAAAGATCAAGGAAAAAAAAAAAATCCTTGACAGCTTTTTGTGTCTTAAGTGGCCCCCACACAACAAAGCCTCTCTGTCTTTCTTGTTGAGTGTTGCCTATTTCGTGGTAACACTCTTGAATGCAGCAGAGCTATTGTTATACTGGGAATCTTTTATTTAAATCCCATAATCACACTCATTGTGTAATCCTTTCATCCTCGCTCTTTGTAGTCGGAGATTATGCACAATTAACTCTGCCTTGTCTGAGATAATGGGGAGGGAAGAACGAGGCTTCTTCACCGAGCAGGAACGTTGAATATAAGAAGTTCCACCTAAACATGAGGAGGAACTTCTTTCCTGTGAGGGTGGCAGAGCCCTGGAAGAGGCTGCCCAGAGAGGTGGTGGAGTCTCCTTCTCTGGAGACATTCAAAACCTGCCTGGACACGTTCCTGTGGGACCTGCTCTGGGTGGACCTGCTCTGTCAGGGGGGTTGGACTAGATGATCTCCAGAGGTCCCTTCCAACCCCATAGCATTCTGTGAGATGATGCGCAGGCTGTGCAGGGTGCTGGAGAGAACTGTGGCAAAACCAAGTGGTGATGGAGACTCAGTTGTGGTCTGGAGGACTCTCAGCAGTCTCTGCCATGGCTTCATCGGTACTGGGTCACTCGGGGAGTCTTTACGCCGTGCTCCGTACTTGGGTGAGCCTCCTGAAGGGTTTGTTAGGTCTGGTGTAACAGCAGACTCAAAGCTGCTTCGGGCATTTTTGACTAATACCCAGGCACCAACGAATACAAAGGAAAGTTTCTTGAGTAACTCCGTGGGAGCTGTTTTGCAGAACAGGCACTGAAGGGAAAGCACTGCTGAAGATAACCCTTTGTCCATCAGCAGTCCTGGCACACCATGCTCGAGTGCTCTAGAGCCATCATGGAGTTTGTTCTACAAGGAGCTGGCTTGGGGTTGCAGAGCTTGGGATCCCCACCACAGCATTTCTGCCGCTCACTGGAGGTCAGATGGCCACGTTTCGTACATTGCGGCATTTTTGTTAATGAACTGTGCCAGACCCGAGCTGTCTTTGCTGGGGGTGAGCTCCCGTATCACTGTGTTGGATAAACCCCTGAGCAAATTGGGGGCTGGCTCTGTGTGTATTTTGGCAGTAGACGTGTGCCTGTGGCAAGCACATGGTGGTACCACAGTGCTTTGTAGTGTCAGCTTGCTATACCTTTACATTTTGTGATAACCACATTTCATAATATGTTACCATCTTTTTCATGACACATATCAGAAGGATTAAGCTGTTTACAAGTACTCTTTATTGTAAGATTAAAAGAATATGTAAGAAATATGAATGATAACCATCAAGTAGAAGAGGTTTAGAATAATTTGTGGCTGCTGGTATATGCTTTTCATGCTTTTACAGGTGTCTATAACCAAAGAAGAATTATGTAGGAAGTGTGAAAAAATAGTATCTTTTTCAAGTCAAGCTCTGAAAGATATTCAAATTAGTGTTAAGGTTCCCTCATCAACTTTTTTTGTCGATATTTGTGCATGTGTGTTATTACATGATATGGTGATAACTTTTCTGGTGGACACCAGCCTCCTATTGCTATTCCTCTGAAAGATATTCAAATTAGTGTTAAGGTTCTCTCATCAACATTTTTGTCGGTATTCGTGCATGTGTGTTATTACATGATGTGGTGATAACTTTTCTGGTGGACACCAGCATCCTATTGCTATTCCTTTTTTGAGCCCCTTCAGTACACATCATTTTTACAATACCTATTTTATAGAATGGGAAACGAGGCAGAGAGGAATCCTGTCACTCTGAAGAGACTACTGGTTGTGGAAAGCCTGGGTACTGACATTGTGCAGTGTTCTGCATTTTTTATAGCATTTTATTTGTTCAAAGTGTCTATCTTTGTCATGGTTTGGGCTGGGCTGGCTATGGAAAGGAATGACAGATGCTCTCTAATGATCTTGGTGCTTGCACACCTGTGTTATGAGTGTTCAGCATCACTGCACATCTGCCTTCCAGCCTCTTTTGGTGGAGGCAAGAAGATAAAGTTTACTTGGTTGCACTTGTGGAAAGTGGTTTAAGTGGCAAGTTCAGAAAGATCTAGGAACACTAAATAAATCTAGTTATCTAGAGTTACCCGGCTGCTAGCAGTGGTACCCAAATGTTCCCTCATTCAGTTATGTCTTCCAGCTTCTGCCTTAAACAAAGTCAAGGTCTAGGGGTAAATAGTCTCCTCTATGGACAGTTGTGTTCCACTTGCAACCGTAGAGCTCTTTTGTGCCTTTTAAGGAGACAGGGATCTGGGGGAAAATAGCATTTGATCACATAGTTAAATCCCAAATCCTCATCTCTAAGAACAAGGAAGTAGGATAGGTAAACTGAGTTCTGGCTTTTCCTAATATTTACACCTCCGCAGGTTTTGCTGGTTTGATGTTTTCTCAGTGTAGCTCTCAAGAAGTCTCAATTATATTCTTAAGAAATAAAAGGCAAAGTATTAGGAACTTTTACTGATTCCCCTATTGGATTGTGGGCAAGGTCTTGTCTTCCAGCTGCTTGACACATAATTCCAATGATTAGAAATGTACTAACGACTTGGCTGAAGCTTTTAAATGTTTTGAGAATCACAGTGAGAAAGCCATCAATCCAAGGTAGATATCCAAGGTAAATTTCAGTTTTGTTTAAAATAACTCAGATTTGTTTAAGCTCAGCAAAATTAAAAACCACAGGGGACAGATCTTCTCAATCCCAGCAATCATAACAACCAGCTTCTCCAGTCATCCAGAGTGACAATTCTGAATATTTCAGACAGATCAGGGACCTGGCAGCAGTGCTGTGCTGGTGACTGGTCCTCTGAGCTGAGTAATCCTCAGTATCCTTGGCAGGGCATCAAGCTAGACGCTGACTGCAGAGCAGAAAGGGGAAAAAAAAAGCAAAAAGCTGTTTGAAGCCTTAGAGACAAGAACTTCAGCGTGGAGGATAATCCTGGTATATGGCCAAGCGCTCACTCACAAAGTGTGTTATAATGTACGTGGCTCTAGAGAGCAAAAATGCTGCCTGCTGGTCTTGCTGCTTAGATTTGTAAGTCTGTCTTCAGGACAGGAATATTTCTGTAATAACCTCCTGAACGTTTTATGTACATGAATTCATCCTCAGGAAACCACCGAGAGGTGCCTTAGTTATTCTGCTCGTCAGGTGCCTGCGTTAAGAGGTAACACGATTAGCTAACTTAAACGTCAGACTATTT